GGCGATGGGTTATGAAGGAGGGGTCAATACCCGGCATGTCTGAATGGGTCTAGGCAAAGACATCATTGTGCTCGGTCAGGAGGGCAGTAAGGTTGGCCTTTGCTTGGGGAGATAGTTGGCTGCCGATTTTGGCAGTTTTCATTGGGTTGGTGGGGTCGATGGGAACCTCTACGAGTTCCTCCACATGTTATCCTCTGACCAGCTCATCCTTATCTCGGACGTCGAGTCCTTCAATAATCAGCTTGACTTCTTTTAGTGAGGCAACATAGCATTCCCGGGCCATGGTCTGCTCTCCCCTTACAGTCCCGACCCCCAGATCGGTGGAAAACTTAACGGCAAGGTGATAAGTTGATGTGATAGCTTGGAAGGCATTTAGGGCAGTGCGGCCAAGGATGATGTTGTAGGCGGATGGTCAGTTGACAACAAGGAAGGTGAGCAACTTTGTAATCTGCCGTGGGTACTCGCCGATTGTGATGGGAAGATTAATGGAGTCGATGGAGGTGACCCGGTCGCCAGTGAAACCGACCAAAGGGGTTTGGAAAGGAGACAGACTTTCCTCTCCAATTTTGAGTTGGCGAAAGCAGTTGAGAAAGATGATGTCTAAAGAACTACCGTTGTCGACGAGAACTCGTCTGACCTTGTAGTTGGAGAGGAGGGCAGAAATGACGAGAGGGTCATCATGAGGGTAGCGGATGCCTGTACAGTCGGTGTCTGTGAAGGTGATAGGCTCGGTCCACTGCTTGGGCTGTTTGGAGGGTCGATCGACCGTGGCAACTGCTTTGTCTGAGCGCTGCCTTATCTTCCTGAGTTCTGCCCTCTAAGCCGAGCAGAATGGTCCCCCGTAAACAAGGCCGCCTGAAATGACTCTGATCTCTCCAACAGGTGGAGGGGGGTTGCTTGGCGGCCGAGGTTGCTGTGGAGGGCGATCATGGCCTTGGTTAGGTTGGGCTGGCTGCCGGGGGGATACACTGGCGGTTGTTTCTGAGGGGCTAACTTCTTTGCCTCTGCTAAGGGCGGGTGTCCGTGAAACGGCTAAGACGTCCCTGGTATATGAGGGTCTCGACCTGATCTTTGAGGTTAACGCACTCATCGGTGTTATGGCCATGGTCCTAGTGGAAGCGGCAATATTTGGACTGGTCTTTCCGATTGGAAGGGGTTCATGACGGTTGGGGCCATTTAAGGAGGTAGTCCCGCTGGATCTGATTGAGGACTTGTTCCATGGGGGAGTTAAGGGGTGTGTACCGCTCGAACCGATTGGGCGGTCGGGCTTGTGCCGACCGATCAGCTCGGGGGGGCCGATCAGTATAGTATGGTGTTTGGCTATTATACTTGGTGTTTCTGGATTCTGAGTCTTTTCTATTTTCTCTGGGGCCCGGGTTTTTGGTTATGGGATCTTTCCGGGCGGCTAGGGAATCCTCAGTATTTATGTATTTTTGGGCTTTGGAAATTAGGACTGCCATGGAGGTCGGGGGGTTTTTAGAGAGGGAGAACAAGAAGTCGGACGACCGCAGACCGGCCATGAAAGCAGTGAGGATGACCTTGTCATCATTTTTCGCTACTTGCAGGGCCTTGGTGTTGAAGCGGGTAACAAAAATGCGTAGCGACTCCCCCTCGGTCTGTCGAATGTTGAGGAGTTGGGTTGCGGGGCGTTGCTGGTGCTGGGCTCCAATAAAATGGCTAAGGAAGAAGTCACTGAGATGCTGGAAAGTGGAGACGGAGTCTGCTGGTAACTGGCTAAACCACAACCGAGCTGACCCCTTCAGTGTCACGGGAAAAGCTCGACACATGATCTCGCCAGGGAATGCATGGAGGATCATGAGGGTTCTGTAGGTCTCCAGATGGTCGACTGGGTTCGTCGTACCGTCAAAAGAGTCGATGGTGGGCATCTTGAACTTGGAGGGTAGAGGTTTGTCGCTGATGGAGGCGACAAATGGTGAGTTTGCTGTGGTAAAGGGTTTATGCTGGATGTTCTGCATGACCCCTTGGAGTTGGAGCTTCATGGCTCGGAGTTTCGCGTCCCAGAGAGGGATGTGGTCACCTCCGGAGGGCAATGGGGGCTGGACGCTGCTAGCCTCTCCTTCAAGGATTGGTGGCGAGATCGATGGTTGTGGGCCCCGGGGTGGTAGGTTTATACCTGGAGGAGGGGGTTGCAAGCCTTCTCTATTGGGCGGATTAGGCTGCGAAATAGTATGGCTCGGGGCTTGTTCGTAGTTGGGAGGAATATTGGGAGGTGGTGGAGGGGGCATAGGAAGGTTTCTTTGGAGTAGGGCATTGATCAGGGCTTGGTTTTGCTCGGCCATGCGGTTAATGCTGTTGGTAAGCTCGATAAAATATTATGGTGGGTTGTTTAGATTGGGGGGATCGGCTTGGTGGTCGGCAGCATTTTGGTAAGAAGCCATGGATCGAGTCGTGACCATACACTTTGATGGGTAGCAGGAAAGGGTTATTGGAACAGGGTCTCCGGCGACAATGAGCACAACTGGCACGCGGAGCAAAGCGTGGTCGGCAGCATTTTGGTAAGAAGCCATGGATCTAGTCATGACCATACACTTCGATGGGTAGTGAGAAAGGGTTATTGGAACGGGGTCTCCGGCGACAGTGAACACAACTGGCGCAATGAGCAAAGCTTTCCCACAGACGGCGCCAACTGATGATACAGTTACTACACAACGGGTCCCAAGTGGAATGGGTCGGACTAATCCATGCTTCTTCAACCGGTAACTAAGTGTTCAAACCCACCAGAGAACCTGCACACAAGTTCAACAGGGAAACGAGGAGTCCCCCAGCAAACCCTCCGACGAGCAAGTTAGAGAGAGAGAAGTGTAATGTAGAGATATGAATTGGAGATAGAAAAACTTAACATTCTTCTTGTCTTCAACGTCTGCTTATATCCTTTGGTAATCATTTCCCCGTCCCTTCCGACCTGCCACCTTGGCCGAAAGTCTATGCTGTAGCTTACCTTGTTCAGGGTGAGGGGGTGCTATTCCGACGGAGAGGTGTTGTCGTAATAAATGTTGTAATGGACTGCATTAATGGCGATGTGCAGTGGCATCAATTTTGCAGATCTTTGTCTGCTGATGTGGCTTGTCCTTTACCTGCCACATGTCTGAATATCATTGGTTCTTCGTGCCATGTTGGCTTCCAGTTGTTCAGGATCTTATCAGTTGGGTTATGTGTTGGGCTCTAAGTGATGGGCTTCGGTTGTTCATAGTGGGCTATGACCTTTGTAGGCCTAACCACGTCATTTTAATTTATTTTTTAGTAGTACTAGTGGTTGAACTGAAGTTTTTTGTCCCTCTCATATTTGATGAGATGTTTTAAAGAGTGTCGACTAAAATTGTTGGTGGTAAAGAGGGAAAGATGAGCTATAAAGAGAGAATCAAGATGCTCTCCTTGAGTCCTCTCATTCACTCTCTACTTGCAAGGTTATTGGGCTCATTGTTGGGTATAATTTTGATGATCTGAACCGTTCATATTTTAAAATTTATTGAGTATATCATATTGTAAAAAATTAAGTTAATCGGATGTCAGAAAGTTTGTGTTTGAAAAACTGTTTATTAAATTTTTTTAAAAAAATAGTTTTTAGTTTGATGATCCGAATATATAGTTTCTGATATCTGATTAACTTGATTTTTTACAGGTATAATATACTCAATAAATCTTAAAATATGAATGAATTAAATTATCAAAATTGGACCTAAAAGTAAGCCCAATGAATAAGAGAACTCAGAGAGAATCTTGATTCATAAAGAGAGGTGAGATGGAGAAAAAGCTGTCTAATTCATCTCAAGGAAATGACAGGTGAGTGCACTGCAGTCATTTAAATTTTTCCCTTAATGGGGTTGATCAACAAACTCCTACAGGAAGTCACACAGCAAGGAGAAATTTATATTAAAACTAAACTTTAGGATGTAATTTATCCTGTTTAAAAACAATATATATAGTCAGAATAAGTAAGAATAATATATAAAAACTACTCAATAATATATATAGTCAGAATAAGTAAGAATAATATATAAAAACTACTCAATAATGATTGTTTGGGTAGGTATTATTTTGAAATTGGATTAATAATCTTATAAAATATATAAATTGATGTTTAATAAAATATTTAAAATAAAAAAAATAAAAAAAAAAAAAGACTTGGAGTAATATAGTATACCTCATATCGGAGACTAACACTATTGAATCCAAGTGAGGGAATGGGATACAAATTGAGAGATCAATGCAAGGTTTAGTCTAATTGATTAAATTATAAAATTGATAGGATTTTATCATGCCATCCTCATAATTTTGAGTAGGGCTATAAACGGGCGAAGTCCAACCAAATAGTGGATTATTTAAACTTAGTTCAAAATTTTAACGAGTTTCAAAATATGATTAAACTTGACTTGTTTATATAACGAGTAGATTTAAACAAACTTTGAACAAGTCAAATTACAGTAGCTTATTTTTTATAGTGCATATAAATTTATTGACTAGTAGTAAGTTCAAATTTAGTTTGAAAATTTAACAAGATTAAAATTGTGCTCAAAATTGACTTGTCTACATAATAAATTAATCTCAAACAATTATTTAATGAATCAAATACAAGTCAACCTCTAATAGCTTGGTTAATAAGCTTAATTATGAGACTCCAAAGTTCACTTATATTTTTCTTTTCAGAACTATAAGGATTAATTTGCTCTAAAAATTGATTAATCTGATTCCCGTATGTGAATAGATAATTGCAGGATAATATTCTATAAAAAAAATTATGCATATGGAAAATAATCATCAATTACTTTTTAATAATTCATTTCAATTTAAAATGTTTAAAAATATCAATATCATAATTCTGCAATTGAAATTTCAAGTACAAATTTTTTTTTTTTTTTTGCTTTGTGAAACGAGTCATTGGGATAAAATTTATTTGCAATTAACAACATCGCATTCTTCGTTAACCCAGATACATGATTCTTGAGCATGCTATAGAAAATAGAACTTTAGAACCCAAGTCATCATCGGTCAGAGGCTTGGGAAACAAATTTGAGAAAAACTCCATCAGCCTCAAATTTGGCCATGTCAACATCTGTCAAATTAATCCACACTTCTATACCATCACCAGATCTTGTAGGCATAAAAGTCGCTCGATTCTTTAAGGGTAGAGTGGCTTGGCTTACCCATATTGGTCTCCCCCACCCAAAATCGACTTCATATAGTTGAAACCTGCAATAACTAGAAAAGATAAAGTGGCCAAACTCTATTTTCTTTCTCATTGCCTCTTCCCTTGGAGGTTCTTGACTTGATTTATCATCTCCCTTTCTTTTCATAGAACTGAAGAGTGTGTCACCCTCTTGAATTCTTTTCACATAATCACTGTCTTTAGTTTTCTTTACTGCTTCCCTCATTTTTGTCACAAACCCATAACCCTCTTCCACAGTCTTGTCCATGGATGGCATGATCGTTACAACCCAACTAAAATTGACAAAATAAGACTCTGTTGGAGAGGAATTCATTCTCATGCGCAAGTCTAATCCATGAATCACCAAATAGAGTCTTGTAATACTCGTCTCTGTCTCTGCCTCTACTTGATCACTCATTGCAACAACGAATCTACTCCATATGAAAGCCGAAAGTGCTTCAACCCTAGTGGGTTGTATTTCATTTGCATACTTGTCTTTGAGAGTAGAGATAGCAGAGGCATTGAACAGAAACCTCTTTGAAACCATCTTTTCTTCTGTCCTGCCGGTCTTTATATTATAACAAGACATGTCTCTAGGAGGGAAATATGTGGCCGAATCAAGTCGAGGGCATACCATATTGCTATGACCACTACAAGAAAATACAGAATTCCATGAATTACTTATACAAATTAATTCAATAATACAACTATGGTTTTTCCCAAAATTTACCAAAGTATCCCCAACATATCAAAATACCCAAACTTAGAACAAAACCTATATAAAATGGAGTAGGAAATCCCTACCTCGAAGAGAGTAACCCGAATGGAGAAGATGGAGATGAATGCCCAAATACCAAAGTGCTCCAAATTACGAAAAGTTCAGATTAAATGGAAGCCCTCGACTCCCTCTATCTTTTTAATGAAGGATCTAGGGTAGAAACACACCCTAAGTAGATCAAATCTAAGAGAGAAGGTGAGTAGGGAGATAGAGAAGTCGGACCTAGGGTTTGGGATCAAAAAGAAGATGAAAAGGACTGATCAAAACCCGCTGCTGTAAATATATACTGGACAGGCTCGCTCGAGCGAAGACTTGGTCGCTCGAGCGACCAGACACAGAGAAACTACGCTCGAGCCAAGGAAGCCTTGCTCGAGCCAACAACTCAAAAGCTCGCTCGAGCGAAAGAAAGCTCGATCGAGCGAAGAACTCAAACCCTCAGGTCTGCAACAAGACACATGCTCGAGCGAAGGAACTATTGCTCGAGTGAAGGACGAACTAACTCGCTCGAGCGAAGAAAATCTCGCTCGAGCCAAGAATGAACAGCTACAGGTCCAAATCAAACGCAACCATTCGCTCGAACAACTTCTCGCTCGAGCGAAGAACCAAAAACCTGGACAGCAACACTTGGTTTCTAAACCCAACCAACCTGAAACAAACCTGCCCAACACATCCTATAATTCCAAATGAGAAAATAAGGGACAACAACAACAACAATTATACAATGACAGAATCCACAGAACCTAAGTCCGGATACAATAATCAAATGTGAAAAGACCGGGGTCGCTATAACCTCCCCTCCTTCAAAGAATTTCGTCCCCGAAATTAAGCATAAGTTTTTGAAAACAATTTGTTTTTTTTTACAATTCATTAGGAAACATCTTGACCCAAAACTGGTCATTTCATCTCTTTATCAAAAGGTATCTCATATTAAATATATAACACAACATATATCTCGACCTGTATCATTATTATGCATTATTCCTTTCAATGTTAACAATCCCCATATCATATTCAATTGCATGATATATATAACACACTCAGCAATGAAATCAACATATGTAATACTATACTAAACTTCTATACTGAAGCAAGTTCCAAGATACACCCATTTACCAAAACAAACTCAATGTTTTACAACTTAAGACATATATAAAGCTCTTAAGTTCATCAATATAACAGAATCTAATTATAAGATTACAAATCAACAAACATATCCGGATATTTCTCGCGGACTTCCAATTCACGTTCCCAAGTGGCTTCCTCCACTCCGTGATGTTTCCACAAAACTTTCACCAAAGGAATGGTCTTGCCTCGCAAGACTTGATCCCGCTTATCCAAGACCCTAACCGGTCTCTCCTCATACGAGACATCCTCATCAACTACTAAATCGGTCCAATCCAATACATGCGATGGATTCGGCTCGTACTTCCAAAGCATACTAACATGAAATACGTTATGCACTCCGGACATCTGCGGCGGCAAAGCTAAACGAAGAAGAAGAGACCTGCAGTAGAATAGAGAAGGGAAAAGAAAAATCCCACGGTGGTTGTGGTTGTTTTGGTTTGTTTGTTTTTTTTTTTTTTTTTTTTTTTTTTTTTTTTTTTTTTTTTTTTTTTTTTTTTTTTTGTTTTTTTTTTTTTTTTTTTTTTTTTTTTTTTTTGGGTTTTTGTTTTTGTTTTTGTTTTTTTTTTTTGTTTTTTTGTTTTTTTTTTGTTTTTTTAAAAAAACAAATTAAAATAATACCAAGTGACCACTCACGCACGGTGAGTACACCTTTTAAGCTAAAGCACAATACACATGGTCTGCTACCTTCACGCGTGACAAAGCCATCTTGATCTTTATGCCCATTGGCCTAGGTGGTTTTTTTTATTTTATGTGTGCTAAAATAAAATAAAAAAAAAAAGAAAAAGAAATGGGGTGGTGAGGTGTGTAAAGCGTGAATGGATGAGAGAAGAATAATGTGTGTTTTCAAAAAGGATGAGAGAGAGAGAGATTGAGTGGGTGTCTTGCCCCAAGAAAGGCTACCCACGTGATTACTACTTTGTTGTTTGTTTTTTTGTTTTGTTTTGTTTTTTTTTTTTGTTCAAAACAAAAAAGGAGATGGTGGCGGCCTCTCAGGAAGCTGCAAATTCAAGTAATCAACCTAGGCAGGAGCTAGGACGAGCAAACAAAACGGAGAAGACATGGAGGTCTCCAGAGCCGAGAACTGGAAGGGCCTCCGAGTGACGGTGAAGCTCACGGTGCAGAACCGCCAGGCCAAGGTCTCCGTCGGGCCGTCCGCGGCGGCGCTGGTCATTAAGGCCCTGAAGGAGCCCGAGCGTGATCGAGATTGCCAAGAGGGTCGTCCAGTAGAGCCGATTGGTGCAAGCTGGAAGAAAGAAGAGTGCTTGAGGGCGGGAGTAGGGCGTGGGCTGCGTCGGCGACGGCGATGGCGGAGCTAGTGATGGGAGGGTTGTGTGGATCGTTGCTGACCCTGTGAAGACAACAAAACAGGGTGTTGCTGTTTTGGCACTTGAACATGTGCTTGTGGCTGCAGTTGTGGAAGAGGGTAATTCAAGGTGATGAAGAAGACGAGGACGAGGGCTACTAAGAGAGTGACTCGGAAGAGGAGTTTAGAGGAAACTGCTAAGAGCTTTGTGTTGTTTACTCTTCTTGCAGATTTACGGCTGTGGGTGTCCCCCCGAGAGAGAAGAGGATTTTGGGTGTGTCAATGGAGGTTCTGAGTGAGAGAGAGATGCCGAGAGAGAGAGGATTCTGTTGGTGGTGTTGTCACATGTATTGCGAGAAATGTTCCACGTGGGCTTGGTTCACCGGTCTTCGATAAACTTGAAGCTGAACTAGCTAAAGCTGCTATGTCCTTACAGTTACTAGAGATAAGCATGCGACAGAGCTAATAGCCCGAGGTCGTCACGATCCATGTGTTGTTCCGCGAGCGGTGCCAATGGTGGAGGCCATGGTAGCTCTGGTGCTTGTGGATCAATTGATGGCACAGTATGCGCAATGCAATATGTTTCCTATTAATCCAGCATTACAGGAACCGTTGGAGTTACCAAGGAAAGAATCAAGATCGGCGGGTCAGAGGGAAGAGAGTTGGAAGATGCAGGAAACTGAAGGTATGTGTAGAGGTCCGGCGGGCGGCCAAGGCGAGGCTGCCGCCCGCCGGGGCATGATCATTACAACCCAACTAAAATTGCCAAAATAAGACTCTGGCAGAGGGGGATTCATTCTCATGCGCAAGTCCAATCCATGAATCAACATATAGAGTTTCGTAATACTCGTCTCTGCCTCTACATCTGCCTCTGCCTGTGTCTCTACTTGATCACTCGTTGCGACAACGAATCTACTCCATACGAAAGCCGAAAGTGCCTCAACCCTAGTGGGTTGTATTTCATTTGCATACTTGTCTTTGAGAGTAGAGATAGCAGAGGCATTGAATAGAAACCTCTTTGAAACCATCTTTTCTTCTGTCATGCCGGTCTTTATATTATAACAAGACATGTCTCTAGGAGGGAAATATGTGGCCGAATCAAGTCGAGGGCATACCATATTGCTATGACCCGCTCGAGCGGCACTAGCCCAAGAGTTGGCAAAGGTACTGGTTGACAACCCATCTGCAATCTTGTGAGAAAAACACATCCCAATGGCCATCCCACCACATTTGAAGACTGTGACTTGTATTGCCAAGAGCACATCGCCGGCATCGTTGAGTCGATCAAATGGAAGCAACTTGTTGAGCTCAACATGGGGATTGATGGGTTGTTGTCCAATGATTTGTGAGAGTTGGCAATTGACTTGGGCTTCTAAGTAAAGAACACCCTCATCATTGCACTCAATGTAGAGGTTTTTTTTGACTCGACCAGCTAGTGGATAGAACTTGGTTAAGACATCAGCAAGAGATTTCTTGAGCTGGTTAGACCTTTTGAGGTTCGTGGCTCTTGAATTATCTTCAAAACCTAATGGGTAATAAAAAATCAAAGGCAAAATTCTTGGATGGTTGATCTGATCAAGAAAGGAAAGTTGGAAATGTCTTAGGTTGGAAGGGGTTGGGTTAGATGGCTTGATGGTATTTTTAGAGATCACCAAAACCTCCATGTTGATATGTGTATGTGTATATACATTAGGTTGACACAAGTGCTATATTATATATAGTGTAGGATTGGAAGAAGCAACAACTTTTTTTTTTTTAATTTTTTAATTTATGTATAAAACCAGTTTTATAATCAACACAAAATCCAACACAAAATATAATAAACAACAATGCTACAGACTCCTAAAAAATACAATCCCATAACCTTTACTCACTTGTGATTGGTCCAAGAAAGGAAAAAAAAAAAAAACATAATTGGTTCACATCATTTTGGGGGTCATGGGGTCCCCAACTTTGGGAGTCTCAAACATTTTTTTATAATAAATTTTACATACTTTAATAATAATAATAATAATAATAATAATAAGAAGAAGAAGAAGAAGAAGAAGAATGAGGAGGAGGAGGAGGAGGTTGTTGACACACAGCCCTGATGCATAAGTTTGGGGAGAATTATTGAAATGTAATGGAAGTTTCAAGAAAATGGTGTAGAGTGTAATAAGAGTTTAGGGAAACAGTAAATGATAAACTTTTTCTAAATATATTTTAGTCATTTACTTACTATGTTTTTTTGTTTTTTATTTATTTATTTATTTATAATTTTTTAATTTTTAATTTTTTTATGTTTAACTCTATGACCTTTTATACTTACTAGTTTTTACAATTAATAGTATGGATAAAATAAACATATGGTCCCATATGTTTTGTGTTGTTTTGTCTTTTAAATTTTATTTTGCTAATTCAGTCCTTAATGTTTTGGATTGAGTTCAATTTCAAACGTACTGACTTAATTATTAATGAAATAATTGTAGATTTTATTTTTGGTCAGTAAAGTGTGCATTATGTGTTATGTTGGCCTTGAAAATTGTAATTTTGTCAATTTCATCACGTAACACGGTACGGTTCTATTTTGTTGTCATCATCAATGTTAAAAGATCAAAGTGATACAAAACTCATACTATAGGGACCATAGATGAATAGTTTTCATGTTAATAAGAAGGTTTGTTTGAAATTGAACAAAATTGACTCAAATTGAAATTTTTAAAAGCAAAATAGATAAAATAAAAAATTAAAAGATCAGAGGCACAAAACGTATATTTCTAAGAAATATAAATTTGTTTTATACTAATAGTAACAACTAATAAGTAGGCCTTATTACAATATATTAGAATTTTAGAGACCAAATTTTTTAGTTCTAAAAGTGAAAATTTTGTTACAAAAAACATTTAGGGACCAATTTCTATCGTAAAAAGATAGTTGGTAAAAGATCATCTCGAAAAGTCAAAAATAAGATTTTTAGCGACAAAATTTTGAAAATGTCACTAATAAATACATTTTTAGGAACAAAATAATTTGGTCTCAAAATGATTTATTTTTTGAGACAAAAAATTTGGTCATAGAAAGATAATAGTTCATCACTACTGTGCAATTTTCATTGCTAAAAATATAATAACGATACTTTACGTAACAAAAATATTTGATTCTTAAAAAATAATTTTGTTTTTAAATTTTAGTTTCTAAAACCCTAATTATTTGTAGTGCCTATTCATTACATAATGTATAAATAAATAAATTTTATAAATTATAACATATATAGTTAACATATTATAGCACTTGATAATACACAGTGAAGATAAAAATTAAGGCTGAGCAAGTGATCCGTGAAATTCGTAATCCGATCCAGTCCAGTCCAATCCGGTAGGTTTGGATTGATTTTTTGAATCCGCGGTTCGGTTTTGGATTGAAAAATTAAAAATTCGTAGTCTACGGATTGGTTCCGGATTGAACCCCACGGTTTTGGATTGGAACCGATCCGAACTGTATATAAATAGTCTATATTTTTATTATACATCCTCCCCTATAGTATCTTCTCTTAATTCTATATAAAATCTAAACTCAAACCTAAAACTGTATAATATCTTCTTTTATTACTCTTGTTTGTTGGTTTTTAATTTTAATTTGTAATGGTTTAAATACTTATAGTGAAACCAATTTTCTTATGGTTGTTTAAATTTTAGAATAGTATGTCGCTATTATAGAAAAATATATTGCTATTGTGGAACTAATATAGCGCTATGTTTATATTTTTATAAAATTAAAGTTTATAAATATATTTTTGTTATTTAATTATGTGAATCCGTGGTCCTAAACGGATCCAATCCGTATTTAAATGGATTGGTTCGGATTAATTTGTAGTGCCTATTCATTACATAATGTATAAATAAATAAATTTTATAAATTATAACATATATAGTTAACATATTATAGCTCTTGATAATACACAGTGAAGATAAAAATTGATACCTTGATTATTTTCTTTCCCCCCAGAAGAAAAAATGTAGGGGAAATCATCATTCAGTGGTAATTTAAGAAAATTATTGTATATATTCATGAAAAATTCATAATTTTAATTATTAATATTTATATAATTAACCACTTAGCGATAATTATTTTTTGAAACTTACATTGCACTGAAATTTCCCCAAAAAAGTATGTATATATTTTCCAAGTAAACAGTATGTTTGAAGGGATATACAAATATGATCAATGGCTCCAAAATATCCACATTAATGAATTTTTATTTTAAATTTTAAAGTGATTAAAATTTTAAATGACATGATAGATATAAACTATTGATTATTAATTTTAGATTTTTGTGATATATTATAATCTTATAAAATGAAATGGAAAAGATATTGATCATTTTTCACAAAATTTTAGATTTTTGTGATATATTATAATCTTATAAAATGAAATGGAAAAGATATTGATCATTTTTCACAAATTTTTTCTTTTTAATTTCCCCCCCTCCCCTCTCAAACTTTTACTACTTTTGCATTCTTCTAATTTCTCTCTCCAAACTCAACGCGGATCGCGCATCGGTTTCCAAACTCAACGTGGATCACGCTTCGGTTTTTCTTACTGTACGATTTTAATAGTAAAATCATTAATTAAATTTAGTGTTTGTTTGGTATATTTTATAAAAGATAAAAATTTAAAAAGTTATTAAAAAAATTAAAAAATTATCACTATTTATAAAAAAAATATAAAAAAATAAATTTACACAAGCAGATGCACAAAAAATTTACACAGGACGGTGGTGTTCAGCCCGTGGAAGCCAATCACGGGTCCTGTTTTGATAATCTGAACTGTTGAATTTGTAGAACTCGTCGAGTATTATATGCTTGTAAAAAATTATGTGGATCGGATATCGATAACTATATGATCAAATCAGTTTTGTATACAAAAAATAGACGGTTGGCAAAAAACTGATCCGATGAGATAGCTATCAATATCTGATTAACGTGATTTTTTACAAGTATATAGTACTTGACGAGTTTTACACATTGAACAGTTCGAATTATCAAAACAGGACCCGTGGTGGGCCCTTATGAGCCGAACAAGACCGTTTAGTCTGATCTCGGACTAGAGGCAAGCTGCTTCTATATATCTTTTGAAGTATGCTGCCCACCACACAACTTCAAAGCAACGTTTCGTACTGGCAAATTGGTAAATTGTGGTTTGAGCAGTTTTAGACGGATTGACAGATTAAAGAATATTCTAACCAATTCTCAAGCATTTGCATAATATATAACACTAATTTGCATAATATTTTTCATATATCTAACACAAACTAATTTTATATAATGTTTTTTATATATATTACTACCCATTTATAATAAATTTCACATATTAAATTTCTTTCATACTCATTTTTACTTAATATTTTATTATAGGTTATAAATATATATATATATATATATATATTAACTATAGCAAAGCGGAGTGGAGAGGTTTCAAAGGCAGATTATAAATTTTAAAGTTTAAACCGTGGTTAACGGATAAAGCAGTACAGATTGATATGAATCAGTGTGATTTTAACAAATTAGGCAGTATTTTGCACAAACCCTACCTACCATGGGAGGAAGGAATTGCCAACAAATTAGGTTTTACAGCAAGTTACATAAGTGTTGACACCATAAATAGTAATATTATTATTATTATTATTATTGCAGGACACGTGGCATTTTCTTAATCAATCAAGAGTTTAGAGAAGTCACAAAATTAGTGGTCTTGCATAGTGGAACATGGAAGATAAGATAGAAGAAGTTAAAGTACATGTAAAGAATATGATGGACAAAGTGACGTAGTGGAAGACATGGAGGGATATGTGACATTGTAGGAATGAAGGTGGAAGAGTGGGTACGTAGTTTTAGGTGGTTATTGAGTGGTTATTGCTGGAAGTTTTTTTCCTATAAATAGCCATTAAAGGCTATATTTACCAGACCCAGAACCAGATTTAGAAACCAGTCTATTTTACCTTACATTTTTCTAGTTCTTTATTCTCCAGTTCTTTACTTTCCAGTCCTTTACTTTTCTACATTGAATTTCAGTTTCTTAAGACTAGTTCTAAGTTAGTCTGTTTAATATAATTATGTAGTAGAGATTAAATTTGTATAGTGTTGGTCTATATATAGAATAAATCTGAAATGTAATATGATTATTTTAGGAAATTTTTGAATAATTAAATCTAGGTTCGTAATATTAAAGTTATATTAAGGGGTTGTTTGGGATGAACTATATATAAGTGCACTTTTTGACTTTTTGAATAAAAAAGTAAAGAAAAAAAATATGGTTGTTTGGGATAATTTTTTGACTTTTTACGAAAAATGTGTATTAAAATAGGAAAATATTTGAGGGCCACAATTTTTGTGGCTCAAATGGCTCAAATTGCCAAAACGACGTCGTTTTGGCAATTTTGAAGTTGTTTTGTACTCAAAACGACGTCGTTTTAGCAATTTTGAGCCATTTGAGCCACAAAAATTGTGGCCCTCAATCATTACCGATTAAAATATTGTATAAAATAGCAAAATTACCATATTACCTCTAATGCCCCCTATGCATACTGACAGTGATTCTTTAGGAAGCCAGTACGAAACGTTGCTTTGAAGTTGTGTGTAACGCCCTCAAAATAATAACATTAAACCCATCAAATAAGACATGCATTGAGATGCAAACGTTCCACATTCTTCCATTTATCAGAGTTCTATTACATAAATATTACATGTTAACAACAAAAGCAAAATGCCCTACGGGCTTACAGCTTTCCAAGTTAACACTTGGTTACAACAAAAGAGTACTAACTCATACACGTTAAGCTCTTGGCATGAATTTACATGTAATACATCAAAAGTAAAACAACAAAGGTATGTCCGCCTCTAGCCTCCCAAGCTATGTTCTTGGAGGTGGCATGCTACCTGTACCTGAAAATGATAGTCCCATATAGGGTGAGTCACAACCCAGTAGAAATATACTAAACCAACCATGAACAATGACTAAAATATTAGCAATTGATAGATGGCCAACACTGATACATTTACATAAATCACATATTTATGTCATACGACTTATGAGTCCAAGTTACCTTTCATTTTCCCTTTTTCAACGGATAAGCATATAAGCACTACCCACATTCTCAACAGATATGTATAACAACAATATCCACAGATAAGCATATAAGCTATATCCACACTTCACAAAGATAAGCATATAAGCTCTATCTTCACTTCTAGACAAGCATATGAG